GAGAGAGAGAGAGAGAGGGAGAGAGAGAGAAGCAGAGAAAGAGAAAGACAGAGGGGGGTCAGTGATAGGCAGATTGACAATTAGACAGACAGACAGACATACAGACAGACAGACAGACAGACACTCACAAATGCATGCACGCATACTTTGAACATAAAAACATAATAATTCGTTTAACTCTAAGTTCACAATGTGTTGTACAATCTGTCTCTTTTCAGGGACAGCACGACTGGCGCTCCTGCTCTGACCGTTGAGATGTTGGTGAGAGTTTAAACCCAATTGGTTCGTGGATTTCCCGTCCAGTGACTTTCACCAAATCATCCAAAGACTGCATGGAGGAATACATGTCGTCAGAGACTGAGATGTGAGCTGCTTCAACGCCCTTCGACGTCCCGTTTTCTCAGATACACTGTGGGCATTGACACGACACCTTCATCTAAAAGGAGTGTATAAAGTGTTTTGGAAAAGGTGTTCATTAGTGTTGAAACGTACCGAAAACGTCTCTTGTTTTAGCCCGTATGTTTTCCTGTTTTGATCAGTGGTGTTAAAACCCATGGAATGGTCTGCTGGCAAAAAGGTTGTTTTCCAACTCTAATGTATAAGAAAACTGATTGACCGAAGACAAAAAATAGAAAGTAAGAAATGTTCCATAAATTACGTTTGGCTTGGTAGCAGCTATGTAAAGTAATTTTTATCGGACTTTCTAATTAACGATAACTCAGTGTCATATTGTATTTTAGAACTCATTTCTTCCTGGAATAGCCTCATTTTGTTTAATAGTCGAAACAATGATTAAGGAAACAAACAGTTTGTTCACATAAGTCATCATCCTAACTCCGTGAGCAACAAAACAACCTACCGTAGAGTTATGCTATCTCTGATGTGTCATCAAATCGCTCTTTCATAATTGATGGAAACAATCAGCTGAGAGATATACCCTGAGATTTCAAGGCAGTAATGATTTTATTCCGACAGTTATGGAATCATCAAACTGTGTGCGATGTCTGTGAATCCTGTGACGAAAACTAACGTTGTGACTTTGTTTTGTACGTTACATGGCTGCCCAAGATACCCGATACCATGAACGGCTGTGCACGGATTAAAATTGTCCTACAGTGAAATTGGAGTTAAAGGCGAGTGTATTCTAAAGTGCAAGTTAATCATGTAGGAGAATACAAACAAACAAAATCATATGACATACATTTTCGTTCACAGAAATGTTTCTGGATCTATGAGAGAGTAACAATTCAACAAGGTCTCAATGGGCTGAGACATCCAGTTGGCACAGAAGTTTCGCAGAAGGCGTATTTTGTGACTTGAATCTGGTTCAACAAGACCAAAGAGCAATTTTATACTGTTTTAAAGGATTGAATATACGTAATTCAACATTAACCAGTTCTGAAAATATACATTCCTGCTTGAACAGTTTTGGAATAAACTCAAGGTCGTTTACAAGGACACGGGTCTTTATACATTTTAACATCTAGTATATTTCTGTACAATTCAAAATAGCATTTAACTTTATTCCTGTGCTGATATTGAGTAACAGCGTGAACATCTTTTTCTAAAGAAAAGAAACATTCTTGAAAAGTGGACAGTAAACGTTTCAGTTCTTTCCTCTCCTCGTTTCTGAGATAAACGGGATAATCTAAACTGTGTTGATAAAAGGGGTGCAGCTCAACACACAGTATATCTATACTGACCCCACTCCTGTGATCCATCGGAGAAGTACATGCACAGATGGGCTGACGGGATAGTTCAGTCCCCTGTTGTGATTGTAAAATGCGCGTCTCTCCCAGGGACTCATCACCAAAACCATACCCGTCTTCTCCCTACCTCATTGGTGAGTAACGTCAAAATATTATAGATGGTGTGCTCTCTCCTGGCATTTCTCATTCTTTCTCCCTCATTCATTCTCTCTCTCTCTCCCTCTCTCCCTCTCTCCTTCTCTCTTTCTCTCTCTCTCTCTCTCTCTCTCTCTC